CCCCAAAACCCCAAAACCCCAAAACCCCAAAACCCCAGTTGTTTAACCCCTGTATAAATTTATTATAATATTAACAATGGAACAAGGGTAAATTATACCAAATTTACCAGAAAAATTGTGATTTTGGCTACACATGTTTAGTATAAGGATTTTGGAGGCTGGAGTTTGGCTGGTTAGATTTGGCAAATCTTAGCAAATTTATTGAGGCTTTATTTTCCCCACCTTCGAGCATATTAAACATATACTTAACTCAAATGTTTGCTTCTATATTTATGATATGCTGGATAATAAGTGATCTTGAATATAATCATCATTTTGATATCTCCATTCTAATTTAGCATGATTTTGAGAGGTTTATACAAGCTAATTTTGGATTTTAAAATTGTATTCGAAGAAAACTCACTCTTTATAATCTTTAATTTGAGCTATCGTTCAACCGCCTAAACCTTAAGGTGCCTTAGTCAGACAATACCTTGAAAAATTATGACTTAAAATAGAAAATTGATCCCACTCGAGAAGCTCACGAATTTTCAGAGTAAAAGCCACAGGGCAAAGCGTAGAGTGTATAAACTTAGGGTAAGAAATCTCTGTAATTTAGAAACAGAATTTAAGCCAAGAGCCAAAGACTGGTACACTAGAGATTCTGATTCTATAGGCATTACTCCTCATAAAGAATTGTTCAAACCAATAGAGATACAGCGGCTCTCCTCCCAGTCTCCGACTGGGGAGGAAGAGATCTGCCTGGATGATTTTGAAATAATTGAGGAGATTGGCAGCGGAACATACGGTACTGTCTATAAGGCAAAGTTTATCTCAGTGACTAAATTTCTAGAGAGATCTAGCAATAGTTTCTATGCTATTAAGAAGATCTCACTTGAACACAAGCCGAAGGAAATGGTTCGAGAGTTTGTCCTGCTGAAGAACATTCACCATGACAATATCATTAAATGATATACCTCATTCGTTGAAAATGAGTTCTTGTATATTGTGATGGAATATGCAGAAGGTGGTGACCTTCTGTCACTTATTCATAAACAGAAAGAATCCAGGAAATTCTTTTCAGAAAAGGTTTTGTGGCAATATGCATGGGAGCTGTGCCTAGGCCTGCTTCATATCCATTCCAATGATATCATCCATCGTGATATTAAGACTTTGAATGTAATGATTAAAAATGGAGTTCTGAAAATTGGTGATCTTGGAGAGTCGAGGACTCTCAACAAAACTGATTATTTGTCAGGAAAAATGGTTGGCACTCCGATGTTCTTAGCTCCAGAGGTGATCAAGAACCAAAACTATGACCACAGAGTTGACATATATGCTTTTGGATGAGTAATGTATCATCTTGCAGCTCTTGAACCTCCATTTTATAGTGAAGATTTTGAAACTCTACTCAAGAATATCAAATATAAGTCTCCAAAACCTTTATTGGGATGTTACTCTCCAAAGCTGAAAGGGTTCATCATGAAGTTGCTCGCAAAGAAGGTATCGAACAGGCCATTTGTAGCTGAATTGTTCTCCTTATTCCCTACATCTTTCAGATTCATGAATCTAGTTGACCTGTCGAACTTTAAGAAATGAGGAAAGATAGATGATATTTCAATTAAGAAGTCTATTATTGATAAGGGACTCCAAGAGATTGGAAATGAGTTCATAGCTTTAAAGAACAGACAGATGATGAAGAAGATCAATTTTAAGAATAATATCAACCGGAGAAACCAGCAGATCACTTTAAATCTAGCGAATGTGTTCCACCAGCGCCAGGTTGGAAGGAGAGATGGCAATCCTATGGTGAAGGATAATCTAATATCAAAGCCTAAAGGTAAACAATTCTGATGATGTCATAGTTGTGGTTGATGGCGACCATTCTTTTTCAAATGACTCGGATTCGATCATCAGAGCAGTTTTAGAAGATAATCAAGGAAATTCATGTAAGTACCTTTTCCTGGGTTTGAATCTTTGAGGAAAAATATTAGTACTGCACTGGTTCTAGGTTAGAGTTTCAGCCAAACAACTTGAATAGTTTGGTGGGAATGAGCTTAAAAAATATTTAGGCCCTTTTAAAAAGAGAAATAAATCTACTAAGACTATCAATGGTAAGTATACCTGAGGATTCCCCAGATCAGTCTCAGTTTACCCTAATATATCAAATTTTCGCTTATTTTCCTTGATTTAACCTACATGATAATTTAGCAGCGAAGAGAAGGAGTTCACTCAAGATATGCATTCAGGAAGATTCTAAAGGCATTGAGTTTAAGTATGGCCATTTTTACAGATGATTTGAGTAGCATAAACATACATCTAAAACCTACAATATGAAGAAAGATTCTTACTCTATTCCCTTTGAAACTTCCTTGATATTTTTGAGGAACTCTACATATTAACTAAAAATAGAGGACAGACTTATTTCTCAAACCATGCTTCTCAACTATCTGCTGAGAAGAGGCCACCTTCTTCAGAATTTCCTGATCTTAAGAGGACAGATAGGCCAAAGAAGGAAAGTAAGCCAACATTTCGGGAAATTAAGCATTCTGTGCTTTGAGGCCTCAAATTAAGTGATAGCATTGCTAATTCTTATGTAGTCTTAGTGGATAAAGTCTGAATCATGGTCTTTTGAAACCTTCAGATCAAGTTGCTTTACATCCCTAATCATTAAAATTTAGGCTGAAATAGTGCATTGGAGGTTCATCATAAAGATGGAAGAATTAACTTGGAAATTCCAATATCGAGCAATTATCAGACTATTAGAAAGTACGAAAATCTATTGAAAATTAGAAGTTTACAATTCCGGCTTAAATCTCTTTATAGAAATGTTGGTCATCATGGAGCATCTCAGGATCGTTCAAGGATGTTACCGAAGTTAAAATAATATTGACCACCAGTGGAATACCGCTAATACTAAGACAACCTCTAATGAAGCCTCAGAACAGGGAAGATACACCAACTTCAAAAGTTGTATTGTTTGGAATAATATATAGTAAATAATTTTGCTTTAAAGCCAAATAAGGGTCATAGAAAGTCAGTAGAAGCTCCTGTGTCAGAATATACTTCTCAAGATATTTATTACTCAAAATCTGGTGATCGTAATCGGGTTAGCCTCCATACTCATGCCAACCGGTTCAATCCTAATTGTAAGATGATCAGGTACTTTCTGAAATTCAAGATTTTAGTCCACAGAAAAAGAAAAATTCGAAGAAATTTAACATTCATATGATCTAGTCTCAATATTTTTTAAAAACCCTCCAATGGATACCTCATGGACATGGTAGATAGTAATTTAGGCAATATTTGAGATTTAGATGTAGGTTGCACTATAGTTTTAATTCAATAAAACTCATCACTACTGGGGTTTTGGGGTTTTGGGGTTTTGGGGTTTTGGGG